AAGTACCACCACCAATTGTTCATATTTATTCTACAAGACAACAAATTAATGATACATGTCCTATTCCAGATCCGTTGTCATCTAATTCTGCCTCACAGGACCTTGATCTTCCCATTGATCTTCGTAAAGGTAAATATCAATGCACCATTCTTACACCAACTTATCCCATTGCTAATTTTATATCATTTGACCATTTGTCTCATTCGTCTAGTACTTTAATTATTTTATAGATTCAACTTCTATACCCAATATAGTTAAGTCGGCTCTAAATCATCCTACTTGATGTAATGCTATGTTTGAGGAGATAAATACTCTTGATGATAATCATACTTGAGATCTGGTAGATTTACCCAAAGAAAAAAAGACTATAGGGTGGAAATGGATATTTGTAGTCAAAGTGAATCCAGATGCCTGTATGGCGAGACTTAAATCTCAACTGGTAGCGAAAAACTATGCTCAGACTTATAGAGTGGACTATTTTGGTACATTCTCTCCAATGACTAACCTTACCTCTGTCCGTTTATTCATATCTATTGCAGCCTCCCGAAATTGACCCTTACACTAGCTGAACATTAAAAATGTATTTCTTCATGGTGATCTCTTAGAAGAAATGTATATAGAGCAACCACCTAGATTTGTCGCTTAAGGGAGTACAGGAAAGTTTGTTATTTAAAAAAAATATTTATATGGTTTGAAGTAGAGCTCTTGTGCATGATTTGACAAGTTTAGTGAGGTAGTATGTAAGTTCAAATTGAATAAGAGCAAGTGCGATCATTCAATTTTTTATATACAATCAACAGCCTGGTATTATATTTTTTATTATTTTTGCTAACGATATTTCGATTATAGGAGATGACCATTCAAGAATATCCTCTCTCTAATCATTATTGCATATCAAGTTCAATACCAAAGATTTGGGAGAGATAAAATACTTTTTCACGGTCAGAGTAACAAGTAAGGAAGGGATTCTATTATCTTAAAGAAAATATGTACTTAATCTATTTTCAGAAACAGGAAAGCTGGAAGGTAAACCATGCAATACACCAATGGTACCAAATGTACATTTTATAAAAAATAATAGTAATCCCCTTGATCCAGATAAATACAAATGACTAGTTGAAAAATTGAATTACCTCACTGTGACTCGTCTAGATATTGCATACCATATCAGTATTATTAGCCAGTTTATGTCGGCAACTACAGTCAAACATTAGAAGGTTTTGAAACAGATTTTGTACTACTTAAAAGGTGCCCTGGGACTCGGCATAGTATTTAGAAATTATGAGCATACTCACATTGAATGTTTTACAAATACTGATTGAGTTGGATTTAAAATTGATAGGAGATCTATTACGGGTTATTGTGTTTTTGTTGTGGGAATCTCGTATCATGAAAAAGTAAGAAACAAACAATTGTCTCTCAAGCGTAGAGTTCGAATATAGAGCTATGACCCAGTCCACATGTGAAGTCTTATGGATACATCATCTATTAGATGAATTGAGTTTGAATCCCACATCTCCTGCTCTTTATATCGCCTCAAATCATGTGTATCATGAGAGAACAAACATATCAAGCTTGATTGTCACTTCATTCGAGAAAAAATTTAGAAAAACTTATATATCTATTAATTATGTGAAGATAAGAAAACAACTTTGTGATATATTTACCAAAACTCTAAATGGAACACAGATTGAGTATTTTCGGAACAAGATGAGCATGATTAATATTTATAATCTAACTTGAGGGGAAGTGTGAGAATATTATAGAATATTCTCTATACATAATAATATGATTATCTTTCCAAATATGTAAGCATAATTAGAAAAAAAATAATTAAGCTAATTTATGTTGGTTACCATATATGAATTCATCTACATGTATATATATCCCAACTTTCATTTCAATAAAGATACAAGAATTATTTAATATTTTTCTTCCCTAACCTTTTACAAAAATAAATAAGTTTTATCATAAATCTAGAAAGAAATGTGCATTA